CTATCAATTCTGAAGCATAGACTTAAGGTAAGGTAATAACGTTCTGCCTAATTTAATTGTAATGGGTTCCTTTTCATGTCACATATATCCATTTCTTTAATATCCTCCCTAACCTGCCGCTTTGGCAACCTTTCTTGTAAGTGTAAGTCTCGCCAGAAGAATTTTAAATGTTGACATCCTTCCCGGCTATAAAACGAACCATTCTTTGGGGGCTGTCCTAGTGTACCGGTACACGGGGGAATTCCTATTGTTTTCATATCCATACATGGAGTTGTGACGCAGTTCGTTAATGTTTCGTTCCTTTGTGTACCGGTACACGGGGACACAACCATTCTTTGTGCAACATCGCTATTAATTATCAGACCCATCCCAGAGGACCAGGCCTTTGGAAATTAAACTCATCCCTATGGGGAAAAGTAAAATTACGTAAACAATATTAAATCGACAATTCTTGAAACGGTCAACCAATACGAAAGAAGCGAAACAGTAGACGAAGCGTTGTTATGGGAAATGATTCAGCTTCAAATTAGAGATACTTCAGTCAAATACTCAAAGGCGAAAACAAAGAAAATAAAGAACAAGGAAACCGATATTGAGAATTATAGCCGCTCTCGAAAGGCAGTTGGAGAACTGCATAAACAACGACAAAGAAGCTCTTGCTGAACAACTGAGGGTGAAGAAAAGGGAATAAGAGAGTATCATTGAGTACAAAACAAAAGGAGCCATAATTAGATCCAAAACGAGATGGTATAATGAAGGTGAGGAAAAAAATATATTCTGAGCCGAGAAAATCGCTACTGCAAAAAAAGACAGTCTCATGCAAATCAAGGCAAAGGATGAAGCAAATCTTAAAAATGACTCAGATATTCTGAGAGAGTGTAACTCTTTTTATCTTGATCTTTACACAACCAAAAGTACCAAAATATCAAAACTTTTGGAAAAAACCTTTTTTGGCTATGAACACCACAAACTCAACGAAATGGATAAGAAAAAATGCAAGGGTCTCTTTTACTGAAATATAATGTCTAGAAGCTGTCAAGTCAATGGAATCCGGTAAATCGCCTGGTACAGACGGTCACGCTGCCGAATTTTGTAAAGTTTTCTGTAAAGATGTATCTCCTTTCCTTATAAGTTCCCTTAATAGAGGCTATCCAAATGAAAATCTAGCCATAACTCAGAGAAGGGGTATCATTTCTTTGGGCCAGAAAAAAGACAAAGCATTATACGAATTGAAGAATTGGAGGCTCATAACCCTGTTTAACTGCAATTACAAAATTGCATCACAAGCGATCGCATCTCGTCTCAAGTTTGTGTTGTCGGATCTAATAGATCACGATCAGACCGGTTTTCTGAAAGGCCGTGCTATTGCAGAAAATATTTGTTTAATCAATAATGTTAATTCCTATACCCACTTGAAAGATCTTCCTGGATTACTCCTGTTCATCGACTTCGAAAAAGCATTTGATACCATTGAATGGACTTTCTTGCGGAAAACGTTGGAGCATTTTGGTTTTGGTTCCTCTTTAATTAATTGGATTAATTTATTTTTACTCTGATATCCGAAGCTGCATAATAAATAATGGATGGTCAGGGAGTTTCTTTAGCTTCGGTAGAGGTGTGGGGCTGCCCGCTCTCGCCATACCTATTTATCCTCTGTGTCGAGGTGTGCTACAGCTACTCGTGAAGACAATGAGATAAAAGGAATCTCTGTGGGAAATGTCGAGTGTAAATTAAGTCACTATACGGACGACACCACGATGATATTAGATGGTTCACAAGCGTCACTTGAGAGGTCTTTTGTTTCGGTCAACTGCCTGGCCTGCGAGTGAACTGTGGAAAAACCGAAGTTCTCTGGATAGGATCAAAGAGAGGCTAAAATCAAATTATGTGCCCAGAAAAGAACTTGAAATAGGCGGATGGTAAAGTCAAGGCCTTAGGTGTTTGGTTTTGTACGGACAAAAATGAAGAAAGGAAATTGAACTTTGAAGACAAGGTTCACCATGTTGAAGATATTCTCCCTCCACAGACGTATAGCAACGAATTCCTTTCGATCTAAAATGGGAGTTTCGGGACTGGTCTCTGTTATTTGCGCAAAACAGACAAGGAAACATAAATCAATCTTTTTCGGGGAATGTTCGGTAACGAAAACCTTCCTCACACGTTTTGAATATCTATGAATGTTTAGGTTTTAGAGGAAAGAAAGATGATATTTTAGTAAGTCATTGTTTGCTCCTCGCAAGGTATTATATTTATTGCTGTATATTTAAGAACATATCTCCATCTATCAGAGAATATCAGCAACGGCTGAAATATAATTTAGAAATTGAAAAACAAGTATATATCGTGACTGATTTACAGGATAGATTTCAACAGAAGTGGGACAAAATACTTCATGCACTACAATTGCTATATAGTTTGCAGGCGGGCTCCAAATAAGAGCCTGCTCGCAGGCTATATCTTACTCTCCTTATGCTGATCTTAAGCCTCTGAAAATCAATTTTTGTTAAACGCTGAATTTTTGGGTTTTTTTTTTTTTAAGCTCTTACTCCTATCTATCCCACCCACAATTATTTATTTTTTTGCGTACTTGATTGTTTTTTTTCTTGTTAGATTTAGAAAGAGGCTTTCGAATGAAGAAATGATTTGAAAGTATACCTTCCAGCGCTTGATTGGCCCATATCCTCGCTAGAATTAAAAATAGCATTTACATAACCAAATGTCGAACTTTTCATGCGCCGAATCAATTGCTTCAACAAGCGCGATAAGCAAATTAATTTAACCAGGCAAGTCACATAAGATGGCAAAAGTGCCAAACCAATTGAAACGTTAAGCTTCTCATGTGCCGAATTTAGTGTTTAAATTAGTGTAAAGTGATTTTCCATAAAATTCTACAATTTGTTGTCTCCAAAGTTCCTTGAAGTGAACAGTTTTCCACAGTGACTCTCTCTCATTCCTGAAGCTTACAACACAACTATTTCAGCAGTATTACATCATTAATCAAAATTATATATCGAACGTGATTAGCTATCAGCTGCCTGATTTATAATGGTGATAGGACCGAGTGGAGTCCAATTCGGTCTGTAATCATGAGTATGATTGCAGACGGAATTGGACGGCACAAAGTCCTGTTACTAATTAATCATAACTGTTACAATTTCCGAAAACAACAAATACATTTAGGACAAATATGTGCAGTAGAGACAATGTCTAAGTAAAATATTCCTCAACTTTGGAAATTCCACAACTTTTTTAGGATATGTGGTTGTTGCTATGGTTATTGTGATCAATTCTATGGTTGGTGGATTTGACTAAAAACATTGCTTAAAAAAATTGATGGGTTTGAAAACACTTGTCACTATAATCCATCGAGATTTATACAATAGGTACACTTTTATTTCAAGTTTTTCAGTTTTTGGTGACCTTTGAACCTTGCTGAAACCAGTTGTTACCAGTTCTTCGTAGGATCGCTATAAATCGTTGCTTACTGGAATAAAAGATTTTGTTATGATCTTTACCGATATCTCTCTTTACATTTTGTGTCAGCGTCGTCGGATCAAAACATTCTTCAGGAGAAATTTGTTTTGCTGAATCCTAATGGTAAAGCCTTCATGTCATAGTTTCAAGGAATCAAATTATTTTGCTTGAGAAGAAAGGAAGAGCTTTCCATTGTGTTAAATATAACGAATTAGGAAAATGAATAAATGACTCTGGCCCAAATTTGCTATGTTTTGTTTGTTCGTTTGTTATGTTTTGTTTTGTTTTGTTTTTTTTTGCCTGCCTAAACACAGATTTGATTATGTTCTAGATTTCAGAGACTTATCACAGCTCTTATTATTCAATAAGAATATGTTTTTCCTTGCATGATTAACTTCATTGTTTTTCTTAGTCTTCTACAATATACCGAACAATAATGATACAATACTCTCCAAAACAGCAGCAAAACTGATTCATATTGTCCAGAGAGCACAAGGTAAGTCCTCAAATGATTGTGGAATGCGAAAACGATATGTAAAACTAACGATCTGGTATTATGTCTTATGGAGGACGAAAGATTAGTGGGTTACTGTAATTTATAGTGAGGCCTCACGATTTTTCTCAGAATTATTCTTAGGATTTCGCGATTTTATTTTTAATTTTTTATGTAGTACTTGGTAATGCTTGCAGAAAAGCTTGAACTTTAACTAACGGGTAGCGATTAATAAACGGAAAAAGGGGAAAGAGCATGATGAGATTTAAGTTCTTGAAAGAGAACTCGAACCCATGAAAAACCGGGCCTTGTTAAGTAGTTTGTGGAATTTTCTCTTTTATTTTTTCGTTTAGTAGAAAAAACAGCACAAAATTACATTACAAACCGTACTTACAATTGTTGAATTAAAGTAGTTTGGAATTTATCTGGCTTTTGGTCCAAAGAAGTGATTCCAATAAGCAAGCCATTGAAGACATCGAAGTCAGAATATTGAAACTCCGAGGTATAAAATAATTTTGACCTTGGATGAGCCGTTGAGCAATGACGGATAAGAGATGATTCGTACCATATCCTCACTATCCTAATATTGATCTTCACCGTTGTCACTATAATCATGGACTACGAAAACATCTATTACAATTACGTCCAAGTCATTGTCACTGACGTAGGGTGATAAACTCTTCGGCTTCACTGTACCTTCAGTGCGACTATTGCTTCGGTAACACATATCCGTTAAAACTACACCACCAGTGCTGCACCGTCGCTATTGCTGAAAATAACATTTTTAACCTTTATCGATTACCTTAGTTACCATCGTTACATAACTATATTCAGCAAACCAGGAGCAGCCATCATCTAACGCGAAACAAAAAGTCTAGAATGATTCGATGCCTGCCAATTTTCGAGAAGAAGAAGAAAAACGGTTCGTGATCGCTTGAAGATACAAGGTTTGGTCACCGATTTCAATGAAACTTTGTCAGTTTAAAAGGTCTACCCCAAAACTCAAAAAGACAAAGTAGTTTCCGTTTTGGTTTTATCCGGGGGGAGATAGACCACCCCCTCCCCTCATCATTGCAAAAGATTCTGCTCTTTTCTTCTCCTCACCTGGTACTTGCCATATACAGCAAACAGCTGTCCACAGAGAACGAGGAGTTACAAGTGTTATTGTACCTTGCACAAACGTATCCGTCGGAAAGGGCTTAGGAAGTACATTTGTAGAATCCTTAACGGCTATCCCCGCCGGACTAGTGACAAGGCCATTTTCTGATCTGCCAGTCAAAAGGTAGAGGGTTCCATCTTTCTTGCCACAATTGTCCTTTGCATAATTTTCCACTTTTGTCTCAAACTTCGTCAAATAAAAGTTCGACGCTGCAAACTGAGGTACTACATTGGTAAATGTGTAGGTAGCGTCCATGAATTTTTCGTTAAAGGAATTTATCGCTGAGGGATTCAAATGGCCTTTGGTTAATTCTTGGTTTGGACGTGATCCTCTAAGACGTTCTCGGTTTTTTTCGATTGCTTCCTTATAAGCAATTTTGAGATCAGGAACACCTGTGAATATAGATGTTATAGAACGATAAACAAAAAGATTATGATATTTTTTTGGTATCAAAGAAGTGTTTTACACTAATCTTAAAACTGTATCCCCTCCTTTTGTTTAACCGTGAGGGTATGAAGTCAAACTTGGTGTTCCGTTAGGCAGAAAGTATATTAGAGATCACCCACTAGTTGGCCCCACAGACCTGAAATAGGTGAGGTCGGCACTCGCTGATGGACAGTTCTCATTTTCAGAATATCATTAACGCTTGATTGCTTGGCTTGTCCTGCCGGAAAGGCACAGGATGTATACGTGCTCTGCAAAGCGTGTCAGTTTAGCGAGGAGGGGAAAGGGGTTACTGCGTGATACGGGATGAGTGTTTTTAATTTTCATGACCAGTTAAAATGCGAAATTGAAACCCCGTAAAATGTGAATATTTTGCTTTTCACTATACTGGAACCCTACAGTTGTTTCTCCTTTATTTCGTGATGCGTTGTTTACACTTTCTACTAATTCTACCCCCTCTATAGCTGATCGAAAACTAATCGAAAATTAAGGAAGACTCGACTTTAAATAATAAATTACGCAGTCTTTTCAGCTTTGGTTAACGAATGCCTCCAATGCTAGAGAGTTAAAGCGATGATTTTCCATGTTTGACGAGCTGTACTGTTTGTTACTTTTTGAAAAAAAAATGGGGTAGAAGAGGGGCATCAGTCTATAAAATACATTCTAAAATGTACGCTCATGATACGGTCCCCGTACGACAACGTGCAGTTTGATCTTGATTAATCTGTGAAACTCTGAGGACATACGTGAGTTGGTTCGATTATAATGTACTGGTGTTCACCATTCAAAATTTAGTCGATGTTCAATGACTATCTGTAACCTGGGGGCTTCTCCACGTCATTCCACCCAGCCTTTCTTCCTTACTAAGGTCCCTTGCCCTAATAGGTGTTACTATGTGGACTGAGTCAACCTGCAATTAATGTTTAATGATTATCTCCAAACCTCTCTCCACACCGCCTTCTCTCCAGCGTATTCTACCCGGCCTTCTTCCTTTCCCAATGTCCTTTGACTGAGCAGGTGTAACTTTGTAAGCTGAATAAAACGGTGTATTGGTGCTTGGATCAAAGAGAGAAAAAAAATAAGGTGGAGTGCCTGGAGGATCATAAGGCAGCGTCTGCTCGATTTCGATCCCTTGAGAAGTACCAGGTAGCCCTTTTGGAGGACTACCACCAGCAAAGAATGGCGGTTGAACACTTCTTTTCTCTGGAGGGGAAGTCGCAGATCCTTTTAAAAGCAGATATTGGTAGAATCAGACTAGGAACAAAGTTTTAAATACATCTGAATAAATCAGATTTATTTCAGAAACTGATGTTGGATTGATTTCAATTAATATGACGAGTTAATAAAAAGACTTTTATGAATGTGTATCAGGGGAGTTAACGGCTCAACTTGCTATGTACTCAAGTTTTCTAAACTCAATTTAACAGTACAGAGCTCAGATGAAAATGCATCAAACGGCGCTATTATTACACCTGTTAAAGTTTTATACCCCACTGACCCTAGCAAAACATATTTAGTTAAACCGGCTTTAAGTGAATGAAAATCAGAAACAGAGAACTGAAAAACTGAATTCAGTGTTCCGTAGGTTTCAAGAGGTCAAACATAGGTTTAAAACAGGCAAACATCGGTTTTAAGTATGCAGATTTTACGAAGAAAACAATTTTAGCGCTATTGACAAAACAGCTTTAAAACCTGTTTAAGCTTTTTTTGGATGGGGGTAATAGTTTCACCAGGGTTTGCCCCCAAGAATATAAATCTGAGGATCGGTTTGGTGACCAAAACGTTTTTCATTGTTTCAAAAAATTCAAGGTAGATGCATGTATAGATACTAGTTAGTTCATAAAAAATTAAGAAAAGAGTAGTTCTCATGATTTATAGGTTAGAACAGGTGCAACTGTGTTGTCGAAATTCCACAATAATTCTAACGCATTCCTTGCATAACTTGGCACTTACCAGAAATACTTTTCAAGAATACAGTCTTAGACAGTACAAGGACAGAAAAAAAACACCAAACAGATGTTGTCTTCATTTTGTCCGATGTCTCTGGTTACTTCTTAGTTATTAAACGTAAAGAAATTGAATGACATAGAGTAGATTGATTAGTGCTCTTCAAACTCATCAGGTATTTCTGTTTACGCTTGATTAGCTAGAACAGGTCACTTTCATTTTAGTACAGAGTATAATACTCTTCAAACCCATCAGGTATTTGTGTCCACGCTTGATGGGCTAGAATAGGTCACGTTCATTGTGATACAGAGCATAGTACTCTTCAAACCCATCAGGTATTTCTGTTCACGCCCGATCGGCTAGAATTGGTCACGTACACTGTATTACAGAGCATGATGCTCTTCAAACCCATCAGGTATTTGTGTTCACGCCTGATTGGTTAAAACAGGTCACGTTCACTGTAGTACATGGTATAATACTGTCTAAATCCATCAGGTATTAAAACACTTGTAATTGGATATGCCAAATTGGATAGTTTAGCAGCCAATAAAATATTAAGAGGAATTTTGAGCCATCAGCCAGTAACACTCATTTACCTGGCCAGTGCTTGCAGGCGCGATTGCGCACGTAACTTGGATACCCCATCGGTGTGCGCCAGTGTAGCGTACTGCGGGCACGCGGCTAGGCATTGCACGAGGTCTCACGTGGGCTAATGGATATGAGGCCGCGTAAGCAAATAATTTGCACCAGTTTGATTTCCCGCTCAAAACGCGGGTTGTGGTTGAAGTTGAACAGTATATCTCAGTATTTTGCAATATCTAATCAAATCGCAAAGCAACAATACCGGCAGAGCTAAAGCGTTGTCAACGGGAGGAAATTGTTATGATTCAAATTTGCCGGCGGAGGGAGGGTTTTGAGTGAAAATAGGATGAAAGGAGAGAGACTGAGCGACCAAAAAAACAAGAAGTAAAAGACGTAGAGCGAGTCGAGAGAAACGGGCAAGAGAGTTAGAGAGGACGCCAAAATAGGCAGAATACGGTGAAAGGAACGCGGTAGAGTTGTCAAGAATGGTGATCATGAATTGTTGAGATACCGCCACCCCCTGTCTGATGGACTTGGAAGCACTGGCTGAAAAAAGAAGGTTTGGTCCCATTCGTAGGCTGCATCAAGTACACGGACCAAAGCTGTTCGCAATGTTACAAAAATTGGGAGAAACAGTCCAACTCGTTTGCCAATGAGCAGTTCGTCGAGAGAAGCAAGCCTGTTACGCAACTACTCAAGAAGAATAATCTTCCCACTTTCACGTCGACGAACAAGAAGACCGTTTCAAAAGAGAAGATGAAAGTGGGAGTTTTGAAGGATGACTGTGCTTTATTTTTACGGCTTTACATAGCTTGTCAAATTCGTGATGGAAACACGGAACATTTCTTCAAGCATGAGAATCAACCATGGCCGCCATCACTTTCGCAGCTTGGTTAGCTTAGAGGACGACGTGTTTGCCCAGCACATCAGCAGAGATCAACGGCGAGAAGGGCTGACTTAATCTGGGATGTCTATCAGGATGATTCACTGAAGAGATCGCTGCGAGAAAAGAGGGGCTCTGGACAAAGGAGCAATATACTAACATCAACAAGAATTCCTGCTGACTGAAAAGGCTTTCTATGAGTGGTTTAATCACAAATATTTATATTCATTTTATTTAAGGTGGTTTCACTGAAGGTTCCCGAGGGTAAGAGCATCTACTCTACCTATGACGAGAATATCCTATCGAGTACTGAAAGAACAGAGATGAGCTTACTTGCGCCTTGCACACATGAAGAGGAAGATACTCGCCTTACGGTCGAGGCACTCTATGCAGCCTCAAGCGGACATCGATGAAATAGAATTAGAAACAATGATACCGATGTTGTTGTACTTGCTATTTCAGTGGCTAGCACTCCTCCAACAGATGAACTCTGGATCACCTATGGATCTGGAAAGAATGTACAAAATATCCTAGCAATATCCCTGGGTCCTGGTAAGACCTCGACCCGACCAATTTTCCATGCGCCAATTGGGTGTGATACTGTTTCATCTCTTAGAGGGCGTGGAAAGAAAACGGCTTGGGATGTGTGGAACTTGTTTTCTCAACTGACACTAGTGCTAAAAGTCCTCAAAGCATCACCACAAGAAATCGCAGAGGAATACGTGGCTTTGCTTGAGAGGTTTGTTTTCCTTATATATAACTGTAAAGCAGCCTTACGAAAGTAAACGAGGCGCAACAAAAGCTCTTTTCAAAGAGATCTAGAAGCCTAGACAGTATCCCTCCCACTGGATCGTGACTTGAGCAACACGTCAAGAGAGCAGTGTTCCAAGGAGGCTACGTATGGTGCCAAACCCTCCTTTGTCAGCCAGTGCTTCCAAGCCCATCAGCCTGGGGGTGGCGACAGCTCAACAACTACTGGTCGCCATTCTAGACAGCGAACTCATTTGATGTGGATGCGGAGCCTCATGTAGAGAACCATGCAAGTGCTCTCGGTGGGAGAGTATAACAGGTAATTTAGTGTTAACAACTGGGTTGAAAACGTAAATTAGCCACCGTAAAGGGTAAAAAAGCTGACGTTTCGAGCGTTAGCCCTTCGTCAGAGCGATTAGAGGAATTGTGGGTTGTGTGTGGATTTATATGCAGAAAGTGGGGCTACGCCATTGGTGGTAATGTGGTGACGAGAAAACAGGAATAAATTAGTTGAATAAAAAGCGCTCGTTGATTCAGTGGGGATTAAGGGTGCCGATTTGGAATATAAATTTTTGTTCTAGTGTTTTACGGCTTTCCGAACTGCCTAGATGTAAGGAAAGGCCGCAAACTGCCATATGCTGTTTAGAATGATTAGGAAGATTAAAGTGTCTAGCGACTGGTTTGGATGCGTCCTTGTCATTTCTTTCCACATCGCGAAGGTGTTCTCGGAATCGGTCACCCAGTCGTCTTCCTGTTTCGCCGATGTATAACTTATTGCAAAAAGTGCAAGTTATGCAGTAAATAACATTGGCGGAGGTACACGTAAAGTGATCAATGATCTTAATGGATCGTTTAGGTCCCGATATTTTCTCTACGTTGTGAATGAAAGGGCAAGTTTTGCATCGTGAGCGAGCGCATTTAAAAGTTCCAGATTGGTCATTGGTTTGAAATGAACTCCTGACTAAAAAGTTGCCTATGTTTTTGTCACGTTTGAATGAAATAAGTGGGGGTTGCTAAAAGATAGTGCCAGTCTCTGCATCGTTTTGGAGTAATTTAAAATTTTTAAGAATGATAGATTTAACTGCGTGGTTGTGAGGGTGAAATGTAAGAGTAAATGGAATGCGGTCAGTGTTTTCCTTCTGCTGCCTGTCGATCGATTTGTTGGGCACGGTGGTAGCCCGCTTGAACGACAGAAACAGGGTAGCCACGTTTATCGAAAAACTGGCACATTGCCTCTGATTTTTCGGAAAAATCAGAGTCGTCACTACATAAACGACGAAGTCTGAGAAACTGTGAAAAAGGTGTGGAGTTCTCGACGTGTGATGGATGTGAGGATGAATACAACAAGTAACTATGTGAATCTGTAGGTTTGTAGTAAACACTAGTACATAAGCCGTTGCCTTCAATTGAAATTTTGATGTCTAGAAAAGCCGAAGAAGTGTCGGAAATTTCCCAGGTATATTTAAGAGCCGGATGAAAGGAATTGACGGCGGTTATAAATTGAGTGAGGTCCTCTTTGGTAGAGGAGGTAGCGCCGATGCAATCGTCAATGTAGCGGCCGTAGAGTTCAGGTTTTGGGCCGTGGTATTGGCTAAAAAATTGATGTTCGATAAAACCTACAAAAAGATTGGCGTAGCTGGGTCCCATTTTAGTACCCATGGCCACGCCATTAGTTTGTTTGTAGTAGTTACCACCGAACAACATTTTTTCGATCAACGCACTGTTAAGGAACCTAGCTCTGAAACACTACTCCGTCTGGCCGAACTAGTACTCACACTCAATTGCTTTTCACATACAAATGGATAGGAAATGACTCGGTGGTTATGTTTGAAGGCTTTTGTCGCAAATTTTCCTGAGTAATGTCGTTAAAGAAGATTCTTTTATTCTTAGCCTCGTTTCCATGTTAGCGAGTTTCTAACATGCATGATTCTCGTCACCAGAAGTTAATTTGGACTGACCCTATATCAGAAAATGTTAGTCTTAGGTTCATAAGTGTTGTGGCAAAGTTTCATGCTTTTATCATTAATTTGAACAATTTTGGTCTATAACCGCTTAACTATAACAAATTAAGTATTCCGGCTTTTCATTAATCTTTGCACTCCCGAGTTTCTCATACATTTCATTGTCATTATCAACTGATAATCGGATTTCCTGTCGTACAATTCAGGTAAGTTTCCCCTATTAGACCATTAATTTTAAAAAATAGATCCGCTGACTTCTTGGAATAACATCAGTTGCACGCTATTAGCATGCTTACAAAACGTGGTAACCCAAATCGACCCAGGAGTTTCGCTGTCAACTATGTGGCGGCGGGTGTGGATGAGGTAAACAAAGTTGTCTCCTATGTCATTGTTGCCGTCTTGGACGAAATATCTGCCCCAGAAGTCAAAAAGCTTCCTGTGCGAACTGAAAATGACACCTGTTTTGACGTTGGAAGCATGATAGGTGTATTCAGCGAGGGCAAGTTTCAATTTGAAATGAAGCAAAGGAGAATTGTCCGAATCGGGTGAGTTATTACTCTTTATATTTGATTGTGTTGAATGCTATTGCATGAGCAAAATTTACCTAGGTTGTTGTCTTGGGAAGGTCAGAAAAGGCTGACCTGTGGAATAGCTCTCATACAGCCTGGCATTTATCTGAATGAAATTCAGTCTCGTAAAAATACTTGGCTTCTTTACGCGTCACAGATAACATCCAAAATTCTTTCACGTTTGCACAGAACTCGAGACGATCACGTTTAACACAAAGGTAAAAGACCAACTTCACAAATTAATGTTGTATTTTTTCTAGACTTGACAAGCCTTATGCAACAAAAGAGGATTTAATGTCTTCTATCATTTGTTAAAGAACCACTTGTAGTCTGTTTTATGACTTTCATC